AAGATTCCTCTCGGATTATATTCGTGAAAGAAAACCCTCGACCTGTCTCCGATGTGTTAACGTCTCCCTCTCTCATTGCACGGAATATATTAACGTTTGTCGTCGTTTTTGTCTTCTATCTGATGTAAGATCGGTTTAATTAATATTTGAATACGCTCGCTCGGTGCATGTTGTTGCCTCCTGTCGATGCTTCAGTAAAAACTGAGGAAGAGATGGTGTCTTGCAAAACAATTATCTAATAGGAGCTTCTATTTATAAATACATTTTTATTTTGCTAAGGGCATTACTAAGCTCCAATTTTGATTTTGTTTATTGTTGCTTCTTTGTGCAGGGTGATGTTTGCGTGTGGATCCCCCTCCCTCCCCCACCTTCTCTCTCACTCTCTGTTCCCACTCTCTCTCTGTCTCTTTCTCTTTCGTTTCTCTTTTACATGTCTCTCTTAATCACACTACCCACTGTCAATTTATATCAAACTACAACGTATAGCTGCGAAAGATTAAATACGCTTTTGAATTTCTTTACTAATATTTGTAAACTTATAAAGTCAATAGAGGATGGAAAAGTACATGTACACCCTGACCAGAGAGTTTTAGGTGCCCTGACACAAGATTGCATGTATTTACATTATTTATCAGTAGAGCGCACGCAGGTGTGTAAATGTGTATGTGTGTATGTGCGTGTTTGTTTGCGTGTGTGTGTGCTTTTGTGCGTTTGCATGTGTGCGCGTGTGTGTGGTTCATGATTACAGTCCATCCCCGATAGGTCCACGGAAAGAGCTTGAGATCCTTGAAAACTCCCACAACACTGTTTTCACGAGCACCCTGTTAGCGATTCAAGTCAGCGTTATCGATATCCTAACGCAGTGTTATACCAGCTGAACTTACTGGTTTTTTTGTGTGTTTTTTTAAGTAGAGGTTTTATGGCGCTCTCAAGTGCGTAAGGTCATATGAGCGCCAAGGGGTTGATGTCAACAGAGAAGTCCTTACAGACTTAACTTTGCTCACCTTTCTAGCTTCAACAGCACAAAGTCTACTTCGACTGTCAAGGCACCCCGGAAAAAGCGGGCCACAAGAGTGAGACAAACATATAAAAGAAGAAGAGGAAAAGTGGCGATAATAAGGATTAGGAAAGAAAAAGCGGCAGTTCCCTGTTGCAGTTCAGGCACAGTTAAGAGCATGACATTGATGAATCAGCCCATTTACAAATACAATTCTACTGTGCATAAGATCTCAAGATGCTAATGGGAATAGCCCAAAGACACTTCAGTCAGTAGCACCGCCCCGGAACTAACTGTGCATCCTGGTACTTGTAACAAAATGGAAATGTGAACTTTTTACTAGTTTATATGCACATAATCGTGTAATATTATTCTTGGAAACTAACGGTTTTACTTTCTTTACAGCACTTATAATTAAGTCCTAAAGACGTGCCATAGTATTTCTTGTCATATCATAACAAACGCCTGTGGTGAAAAGCAGAGTAAAAAAAATATTTGCCGCATGTCACCATGTCTTTGAGGTAAAAAAAAATGTCCGTTATGTGTTTTTTTAAAATAGGGTTTTACGGCGCTTGCAACTGCATACGTTCATGTGAGCGCCAAGGGATGGGTGTCAACAGAGAAGTCTAAACGGGGAATCAGGCTTACTCTGCTCACCTCTCCAGCATCAACAGCGCAAAGTCTGCTTTGACTATAAAGGCACCCCGGAAATAGCGGGTCACAAGAGTGTGACAAACTCACAAAAGAGGTAGAGAAAAAATGACGAAAGTAAGGATAAAGAAAGGAAAAGCATCAGTTGAGTCTATTTTGTGTAATAAAACACTCTTCTCGTCATAACTTTTCTAAACACACATGTTGGCAGCCCCAGACTAGGGCTGGGCAATGAGTCGCTTTAGCAAAATCCGGATAATATGTTAGTGCACCTCTTTGGCAAATAACATGAACCGCTTCGGCAAATGGGTTAGAACCACTTCGAAAAACGGGCTAGAACCACTTCAACAAATTAATGGGTGCACCCACTTCGGCAAACAGGTCAGGAAAGAGAGTTAGGAGTCTGAATTCGGATAATGCTTCATTGAGAATTATCCGGTTATCCTTTTATAGATTTTCCGGACATTGCCCACCTTTACCCCCGACCCATACCCTCCTACGCAATATCATTATCAGTTGATATCTCCGCTAATTACAGGATACACTGACCCAATAATCCAACTCTCATGACATTTTTCCTCTACAACTCGACACTCGTATACCGAGAACAGGAGACATTTTTTACATACGTCGAAAATATTGACACAATACCACAGCGTAAGGCACTCGGTTAGGACCCGCTGGAACTGCTTTCGACCTGAGGTCACCTCAGTTAGTACACAGAGACACTACATGTTTTTCCCCCTCAATGTCAGATAGAGTGACGGGCTACCCCTGTTCGTGCAGGAACCACTCTCAAAAAATCCTGTTTGAGTTGGTTTTTCCGATCGCGATAAAGAGAAAGATCTCTCTCTCTCTCTCTCTCTCTCTCTCTCTCTCTCTCTGTCTCTCTCTCTCTCTCTATCTATCTATCTATCTATCTATCTATCTATCTATCTATCTATCTATCTATCTATCTATCTATCTGTCTATCTATCTA